AGCACAAATTGGATGTACTACTCCATTTACGGACTTTGGCCATTCTTGCACTGCTAGACACAATCAGCCTAAAATTGAGGCACAGGGCTTAATTTCAGTGCAAATTGAGCCTTCTGAAATTCAGTGAGTTCAGTGCAAACTAGTAATACTGCTTCAGTTTTGCATCAAACTTTAATTCAGACACGAGAGCGACAAATAATGTTGACCACTTTTAAATCCTACTGTATTTTCATGGTTTGTCTTGTTCCGAAACCATAAAACCACGTGAAAGAATATCGTTATGCGAGAAAATACAGATGGTCCCTGGTTTATAGCTCGGCACAAAACGAAAAAGACCCCGGTATTCCAACAACTCTATTCGCAAGAGATGGCATCTGCCCGGATAAACAAAAGTATGCGCAAACGTATACAACGGTTGCGAAATTTAAATGGCTATCCAAATTTTATCTAAACCACGTTATCCATATAAATCCGCATGTATCTATTTCACTTAATGATTGCCAACTTCCCCTCCCCCCTCCCGCCCTACCCTCTCCCTCTCTTTAAGCATATTTCAGGGTTTAAGGATGATGACTATACCAACAGCCCGTGGATTCACTATTCAACTGAGTAGTTTTCTAAGCTTGTGCAGCGATCAGTGCACCCCGTGCACCTCGTGCCAATTTATGTTCCCCAATTTGTTCAGTTCCCCTGCAACGCTGGCAATTTCGCCGCAGAAGTCGTTGTATGACTTGTTTCGAGGAATCCAGAGTACTAGGATAACAGGAGGAACGGCTCTGCGAAGCGCATTTTAGTACCTGGAACAAATTCACTTGCCTGAGGACTGAGAGTCAATTGGGGGATCGCATGCCTTCGCCAGGCAGTAGCATTTGGGTTGCTCGAAATGGCCAAATTACCAGGAGATTTTATTTCCCAACCAGTATGGAAATTCTAGGCGCACTAGTATCAATGCAATCATTCCGACAACGGGAAATCCCGAGTGCACGGCACCTGTGTGTTGCCGAGGTGCTTTCCTTTTCATCTTGCAAACGACGAAGCACAGTACTGCCGCGTCAACAACAATGCTGTTTTTACTTTAACAAATTTTTTATTAAAAGATAAAAAAACCAAAAACAAAAAATATGGCAACATGGCAATAAATACAATTTGTCGCTAGGAAACCCTAAAATACCGTAACCCAGCTGCTTCCGGAAGCATTGCAATTCGTCGTTGTTTTTGGGACGGAGGTGTTTTACAACAGCGATCGAGAAAGAGCGGCGTGCGGCAGCATCCCGCAACACAGAAACTCCCATTAGTGAGGGTGCAAGTGATTCGGACGATGTTGGTGATAAGATAAAAATCGAAGATGAGCAGCGCCTTGCCCTCCCAAACATCCTTTACTGATAGCGAACCCACTTGCACGGAAATGCAACAAATATTATCAAGAGGACAACAGCACGAAAATAGAAAAAAAAAAGAAAACTGAAGGAGCTGGAGTGGCAAGCCTCACCACTATCAGTGTCAAGCGAAATATGGAAAAGGCATCATACCCCTTTCGTGAACATACTATGACAACAAAAAAAAGGCAACGCAAACAGAGGCCTCTGGACGAAATCAACTGTAGGCACAAGACTGTCATCATTATCATCAATAACAGCGAAATTATATGTACATACAAAGATCCTCAAACACACAGAAAATTCTGATCACACAAAATTTCACTGCTGCTACTCCCGCTGCAATAACAAGTTTTCGGGATCGCGGCAGGCTGCCGGAAAGGGGAATCTCAACTGGTGTCCAACAGGCAGTTCTCGAACACGGGCTGAGAGCGTTTGCAGCGGTGAAAGTCACACGGAGAAGAGACCAGCAATCTCAACCTGCTATTATGGGAAAAAGACAGACTTTAATTACAAAGAAAAGTAACCAAACTACACACTAAACTTCAGAGTTTAAGTGAAATGAGTTCAATAACTCGCTCACCAGTGTTAACCACTCGGAAAGTAAAAGGTACCAAAAACCGAGCCCTAGACAAAAGTGCAAACCACTACACTCGACATCTCAAGAGAAACATTTAATGTTTGCCAAAAATGCTATGATTCCAGGGTAAAAAAACACGGACCGGACACCAAAATTTCGTTGGAGCATGCACCGGGGGGTTTTTACCTAGCCTTTTGTCTACTGCTGGCGCCTCGCCAGAGCAGTTGCTACTTTAAAAAAACCGGCCAAATGGCAAAAAGCTGGTTACAGACACAGTCGGTCAACTCAATCAAAGCAGCGCCAAAATCAGCTGAGAAATATCGGACAGTGTTGAGAGATGAAAAACCACTGAATTAAAAGGCCAAAACAAAAATGCGCCAAGGAAGACAGAGCACTGGCGAATGGGCATGGGCATTTTTTTCGAACTGTGACCCGTTACTTTTTATTTGAGTTTCAGACGCCCCTCCTAACCCACCAATTCGATGAACGGCTGGAAAATTTCAAGCACATTTGAAAAAGCATGGACTTTGCACTGGTTAAGCGAAGCCCTGCATTACAAATCCCGGAGCCAGTTCAGCTGTACCAACCTAGCACTACCCCAAATGAAGAGCTAGGCGGTCCCAAGTAACCAGCATACCAGGCAATCGGTGACCACGTGCGACAGTTCTCCAGAGGAAGCCGGCTGAAACGGACTGTCAACGCAGATTTCACATGGTTCAGCAAGCTACAGTTACACTG